AGAGCAGAGATCTTGGACACATAATTCTCTCTCCTTTCTCCTCTTTCTGCAGCTTGATGGCCGCCCCTCTCATCAGGCTTCTCTGAATCTGCTTGCTTCATCAGGTGTGTGACATAGACTGCGATCATAGTGCAGAGCTTCTTGCTGGGGATGATGGCAATCTCCTTGCACATGCGCTTGTTGGTGTAGAAGTCATTGCCCGGGAGCATGTAGTATTTCTCAGTGATGACCCAAGCAGCCGTCTTCAGGGTTTCGGTGCAAACGTGGCCCATGTTGGCAGGTATGGTCCACCCTCTTCTGTCTTTATTTAATCCTACACCTTTCCTTTTATCTTTGTTTCCATTCATTAATTCTTTATTCATCCATTCAATACACATTTTTTAAAAGACTTATTTATTCATGAAAGACACAGAGAGAGAGGTAGAGACATAGGCAGAGGGAGAAGCAGGCTCCCTGCAGGGAACCCGATTGGGAGGACTCAATCCCAGAATCCTGGGATCACACCCTGAGCCAGAGGCAGACCCTCAACCACTGAGCCACCCAGGTGTCCCTGTACATATTTATTAAATGCCTACCCTGTGCTAGGTACTGTTCCAGACAATGGAGGTACAAGTGTGAACAAGCAACAGTCTATGACTTTGTGGGCTTTACATCTCACAGGGGGCAGATAATAAATAAGTGAGCATAAGATAATAACAGTATGATAAATACTAGGAAGGAATCCAAGTGTTAGGGGTGAGAGAGAAGGATATAGGTTGAAGAGGGAATGAGAACCTAATTTACACCCAGTGGACAGATCAGCTTCTCTAAGGGTATGACATTTGATCTAAGGAATCATGACATCAATGACATTAGATCTAAGGATCTAAAAGGAAAAGCATGACCACTAACAGGACTTCTAAAGTACTAGAGAAAAGATATCCCGATGAAGGGAGCAACAAAATGTAAAAAAGCCAGGAGTCAGGGAGGAAATTGGTATGTTTGAGAAACTGAAAGGAGGGCAATGAGTATACTAAGAGAGACCCGGGCAGGGGGCAGAGGAGGTTAAGAGATGACACTGAATAGTTGGCTGGCATTAGATAGTTAGGAACTCAAAGCTATAGCAACAATGTGATTGCCTACCTAATAGCCATAACCTCCTCTTCCTTGCTAATGGAGCCCGTTTTGCTTGGGTGGCAGTCTCTCTCTCTTCAGGGAGTGAATCATAATTTATTTAAGCCGATTCTGGACAATGAGACATAAGGGGAAGTCACTGGAAGCTTCTAAGAAACTTTTTTTTTCTTTTTTTCTGATAGTAGAGCCACAAGTAAATAAAGTTCTTTGCTTCCTCTCTCTTCCTGCTTTGGCTGTTGTCATATTTTGATAGGATATCCAGAGCTGTGGCAGCCATCCTGCAACCATGACAAGCTTGAAGATGAAAGTCAACAGACAGGATGGTGGAAAGAACAGAAAGAACTTGAGTCCTTGGGACACCTGGGTGGCTCAGTGGTTGAGCATCTGCCTTCCACCCAGGGCGTGATCCTGGAGTCCCGGGATAGAGTCCCACATCGGCCTCCCTGCATAAGCTTGCTTCTCCCACTGCCCATGTCTCTGACTCTCTCTGTGTCTCTCATGAATAAATAAATAAGATCTTAAAAAAAAAAAAGAAGAACTTGAGTCCTTGATGACATCGCCAAACTGCTAAACCAATCCTGAAAACACTGATCTTCACCCTTTTGTAAAATAGAAAATAATTTTCCTCGTGGTTTAAGTTTCTAGTAGCTGGGGTTTCTGTTACTTGTGTTGAAGGCATTTAATTGATACAGCAGGGTGTGGCATGATCTGATTTACATACATATATTTTTATGTCTCTTTGTAACTGTGTGAAGAGATTTGTAATGAGCAAAAAATGGAACAGAGAGAGAAAAGAAAAAAAAATGGAACGGAGACATTGAAGACTACTGTAGTAGTCCTGAGGAAGGATCATGGTGTCCTGGGCTAGGGAGGAAGCATTACAGCTAGAGAGACATACACAGATTCAAGAAGCATTTGAGGGTAAAAAAATAACAAAATTTGCTTTAGTTCAGACATGGGAGGGGAAGGAAGGGGATAAGTTAAGCCTGACCTCTTTTGGGATTGAAGGTAGTACCATTTATTGATTTGGAGAAGATAGGAAGAAGTTTGGGGAAGGAATAGAATCAAGAGGGTTTTGTTTTTGTTTTTGTTTTGTTTTGTTTTGTAAATATTAAACTGTGCATCCAAAGAGAGATATGGGGCGCCTGGGGGCTCAGCCAGTTTAGTGTCTGACTCTTAATCTCAGCTCGGATTTTGATCTCAGGGTCATGAGTTCAAGCTCCACATTGAGCTCCACATTGTGGGTAGAGCCTACCTTTTTTTTTTTTTAAGATTTTATTTATTTATTCATGACCGAGAGAGAGAGAGAGAGAGAGAGAGAGAGAGAGGCAGAGGGAGAAGCAGGCTCCATGCAGGGAGCCTGACATGGGACTCGATCCCGGGTCTCCAGGATCACACCCCGGGCTGAAGGCAGCGCTAAACCGCTGGGCCACCCGGCCTGCCCAGAGTCTACTTTTTTAAAAAAAGAGGGTAGGGCACTTGGGTGGTTCAGTCCATTAAGCATTTGCTTTGGGCTCAGGTCATGATCTCAGGGTCCTGGGATCAGGTGTCAGGAGGACTCAGGGGGGAATCTGCTTCTCCCTCTCCCGCTGCCCCTCCCTGGCACTCGTGCTCTCTCTCTTGCTTTCTCTCTCTCAAATAAATAAATAAAATCTTTTTTAAAAAGAGAGAGAGACAGAGGTCAAGTCAGCAGTAGACAAATGAGTCTGAAGTACTTGAGGTCAGGGTTGGATTTCTTTTTTTTTTTTTTTTCAGGGTTGGATTTCAATTTGGGAGCTGTCAATGCACAGATGCTATTTAAAGCCACAAGAATAGACAAAGTCCTCCCCACTGGCCAAAATTAGAGGAATTCTAAAATTAGAGGCCCTTTAGAAAGGAAGGAGCCTGCCAAAGAGCCTGAGGGGAAGTAGTAACATAGGTAAGAAGAAAACCAATAATAACAATATTTAACATTTATATAGAGCTTACTTCATGCCAGGGACCGCTCAAGGCACTTTGTGCCTTCATGGAAGCAAACATAAAAAAAGTGTTTTCCTTTTCTTCTTCCCTTTCTATTTTAACTCCTGTGGCTTTCCCTAACCCAAAAAGTTTAGGCACAGTGTTTCTCAACCTTAATTTGTAATTAATTATTAAGGTAAAACATATATTCATTAAAATATTCAAACAGCATAATGCAGGAAAGCTAAAAATGGAAAGCAAAGAAACTCAAAAACGTTCCTCCCAGGGACGCCTGGGTGTCTCAGTGGTGGAGCCTTTGTCTTCGGCCCAGGGCATGATCCTGCAGTCCCAGGATCGAGTCCCACATCGGGCTCCCTGCATGGAGCCTGCTTCTCCCTCTGCCTGTGTCGCGGCCTCTCTCTAGCTCTCATTAATAAATAAAATCTTTAAAAAACAAAACTTTCCTCCCAGCCCGATCTACCATCAGTAACAATTCTTATTCAACCTCCAAGAATTTTCTATAGGCATGTATACATTTTTGCAGATTGGATCATTCTCTCTTGGTAGGTAGATAGCTATAGCTAGATACACACACACACATATTTCTAATTCTGCATTTTTTAAACTCCTTGTGTAGATTTTCTATATCAGCACATACATATCTCTTTTTTAAAAGGCTGATATGATATTGTATTAATATACCATCATTTACGTAAGTTCCTGTACTGATGGGCAACTAGATTGTTTCCTGTTTTTTTGCTGCAACATGCTGCAATAAGCATCTTTGTAGATAAATCCTTGGACATCGGTACAAAAAGAACTGTTGGATAAGGTCTTGGTGGTGAAGTTGCTGAATCAAAGCCCTTAAACCACTGATACGGTCAAATCAACCCTCTGAAAAGATCACACAAATCTCATTCTTTTTGAAGATTTTATGTTATTTATTTTTTCATGAGAAATACGAAGAGGCAGAGCCACAGACAGAGGGAGAAGCAGGCTCCCTGAAGGGGGAGCCCCATGCGGGACTCCATCCCAGGACCCCGGGATCACGCCCCAAGCTCTGACCCGAAGGCAGACGCTCAACCACGGAGCCATCCAAGTGCCCCCAAACCACGTTCTCTCCAGCAGCATTTCCTCACGTCTGGTCAACACTGACAAACCTCAAAGTTCGTCAATGCACGAGGCTGGGAAAAATGGCGTCTCATTCTTTTTTTTATTGGGGTCCCTGTACTCATGAGCAGGCGGCAGCGCGGTCCTGCCGGACACACACCTTTGGAGGGGGGGGGCCGAGCTGACCACAGGCCCCTTCCTTACACCTGTGACCGCTGCTCCGCGACAAAGGGCATCGGGAGAGCGCGGGCCTCGGGGGCCGCGGGATGCGCGGACAGGGGCCCTCCCACGCCCCCCACCCCCTCCCGCCCCCCCCCCACTCCCATCCCTCCCACTTCCCCCGCCCCGGGCTGGGTCCGCTCGCAGCCGCGCCACCTCGACCCCTTCAACCTCGGCGCACCCCTCCCGGCCAACTTTCGCAAACCACCCCGCAGCTCGGCACTCGAAACGGGAGAAAACACCGCTCCGCTTTTCAAGACCCGGCCCTACTTTGCGCCCACCCCGCCTCCGGGCTCCTACTTGACACACGAACGTGCAGAAAGGAGCTGCTGCAGTTTGCAAACAACTCCCCAAAAGGGACCCCGCATCTCTCGGCGTCCGAGACCCACGGCGCACAGCGGAGGGAACGCGGGGCAACAGCGACTCGACGCTACGCGGCCCACGGCGCCCTCAGGGATGGACTGGGCAGCGCCCAGAGGCTTCAGAGAAGGGAATTTTAAACGCCAGCCCCACCCCCACCCCCTTCACGCAGGCCCCCCCGGGTCCCGCCTCCCCGGCCCCGCCCCCCAAACAGGAAGTGACGTCGCCGAGCGTGTCCGTCTTCTTCCGCCGTCCCCGGCCCAGGCTAGCGCGGGGTGTGCGTCGGCGTCGCGGCCGGCGGAGGCATTCTGGGTAACGGCCCCGGCCGGCTGGGGCGGCTGGCTCCGCGCAGCAGGTTCCACTCGCGCCAAGTCCCTTGGCAGTGACGCTTCTAGGGCTGGGGCCCCCCGGACATGGAGCAGCCGTGGCCGCCGCCGGGACCTTGGAGCCTCCCTCGGGCCGAGGGTGAGGCTGAGGAAGAGAGCGACTTGGACGTGTCCCCCAGTTCTCCCCGCTGCCCGCAGCTGCCGGGCGGCGGCGCGCAGGTGAGAGGGGTCCCGCGTGTGGCGAGGGGGATGGGGAGGTGCCATCGCCAGGCCCCCAGAGCCCCCTCTCTCCGCGACCCCCCTGCGCCCTGTGCCGCGCCCCCGTCCCACTCCCGGGGCGGCGGTCAGCAGCTTGGTGCCGTCCCGCGGCTATTGTAGCATCTTCGGGGGGCTTCCCAGGGGGGCTGGCCACACAGTCCCGACCTCCATCTCCGCGCACACCTTTTCACCTTGGCGAATTCCTTCCCCTCCTTGGGAGATGTCCCTCCCCCCTCCGCCCCCTCCTGACAGCACCCAGATTTGGGGCGGCTAGCGTTCTAACGTTGACCCTTTGTCCCTTCGTGCGTGTGTCTTTATCCGAGCGCGTTATTCGGTGGGAGGCTCTAATACTTGTGCTCCGGTACTGGTGTTGCACAGGGAATGGTTGGTTGTATTCCGGCAACAGCTCCTGAGCTCCTGACCTTTTATCCAGATTTAGGATCCAATTTCACTGACTTCTGACATCTGAATAAATTCTGTGAACCTCGCTTTTTGATGCTGCTGTGAATCCGTCTCATTAACGCGACCGCTTCCTCCCCCCCTCCCGTGCGATTATGCTTGAAGTTCGGCTTCACATCATTCTCCAGGGAAAACGTACAGGCACACGTTTGCCTGTTCCCCTCAGACTGCCTTCCTCATATTCCTGGTGTTACTTGTGGTTTTCAGTCCAGCCTTCTTTCCTCTGAAACTTAACCAGATGACACATCATTTCGGATGGTTTTGGGGGGTCCTATCTTAGGGAATGCTTATATACTCATATATGTCACCTTGCCCTGGCTTTTCTCCTACTCTGAGTGTGTTTGGAAGTGTATTTCAGGAACACAGACCAAACACTAATATGTTCAGTGAAACGGGTTATAGGTTCTAGGCTTCTTGCAAAACGGGGTTCCAAAGGGCTTAACTGAATTAACAGTTTTTCTTGAGGCTCATCCTGCTAGCTGTTAGTGAAGATGAGTTATTTAAATCATTTTCCAATAAGTGTAAGGCCATCAGTCCTAAGCCCAGCTCACTGGGTTAGTTGGCTTCACAGAAAAATGCTGTTTCATAACCGTAGACTGTACTTCGGCCAGCCAGTCTCTGGGAAAGTGCAAAACATGTTTTAGGAGGCCACCATGAGAGTTGATAGGTCAGTAGTCACCCCCTAATTATGGATCACTGGTGTCATCTTTATATACAAAGCGTGTTATATGAGCATATAACGAGTGTGTTACAGAGGAAAAAAAAAGAACAGCAGCTGCTGTTGTCAATTTTGAAGGCATATGGGAGAATAAGAGGTCACCAGAATTATAGTGCATTGTGGTTGAATCACAAAAGTAACCTAAGAGGAGCTCTGAACTTAGAAAATATCTAAGCTGATAATACCTGGCTGGGTCAGTCCGAGGAACACATGACTCTTGTTTTTGGGGTGGTAGGTTCAAGCCCCATGTTGGGTGTAGAGATTACTAAAAAGAAAAATAAACTTAAAAACTGTATATTTTTTACTTATGCACTTGGAATTGCAAGCTTATTTGGCTGAAAGTGATGTTGTAAGTAAATAGGTTTATCTTTTTCATTAAAAATGACTTCTCTGAGACTCTATGGCTAGTTAGTGGCAGAATTAAGACTAGAACCCACTTCCGGCGCCTAGTACAGTGGTTTTTCCTACCTGCTGGACTTACTACCATCCTGGATGTAGTTTAAAACCACATGGGTGAAACTACCTTTGGTGTTAAAATTTGCAAAGTGATTACTAATCCTAAATTAGTTCCTGTGTTTATAACCCACTTATCTTGCTGGGCTTAGGACTTATGTTTTTGGATTGGAGTATTTGGAAAGAAGAAAATGTTTAATTCAAATTATAAACATTTTGTAGTTTTTTCAAAAACAGCTCTGGTTTAATTTTACGAGAGGTGGGGAATCTAGACATCTTAATGTCATATGTTCTGAGATCCAATTAAAGTAAAAGGCAATTCAGAATTTAGAGATTCTGTTTGAGCATTTTTAATGTAAAGTTACATTAGTAAACCTAATGCCAACAGTTCCATTTTTGAATTTATGTTCATCAGAGTATTATGTTTAATGTTCCTCTAAAACCTCAATTGTGGGATCCCTGGGTGGCTCAGCGGTTGAGCATCTCTCTGCCTTTGGCTCAGGGTATGATCCCGGAGTCCCGGGATTGGGTCCCACATCAGGCTCCCTGCATGGAGCCTGCTTCTCCCTCTGCCTATGTCTCTGCGCGCCCCCCCCCCCATCTCTCTGTGTGTTTCTCATGAATAAATAAATAAAATCTTTAAAAAAATAAAATAAAACCTCAATGTGTTTACAGGTAAAATGACCTTTTTTTTTTTTAAATCATCTCAATACATGTTGGGTAGTTTGCTCAAATTGCCAGATGTTATCTGTATACTCTGTGGAGAGGAATTTAAACGTGAGTCATTTTTAGAATTTGGAAATAAGATTTCTATGTTTGATTTGAGATATGAATGTTTGCTCCCACATAATTTGAAAATGCACGGTATTTTCATTTGTTCACATTGCCTTTCTTAGAATGTATTTGTCTTTTCTGACAAAGCAAATTTTATAACTTCATTATTCTCCTTTTCCTGGCACCTTTTTAACATAGCTGGGCTACAGTTATTATTGATCCTATCTAAAATAGCAAAAAATAAAAATAAATATTTAACTTGATTGGTTAGGACCTGGATTCCAAAACTGCTAAATGAGTAAATAAAACACCTGAATAGCAACAGTGTCTACATTTGCCACAATAGAAATCTAAGACTCAACCCAAAAAGAGAGGCCTTGCAGCTACTTGTCTGGAATTCTTTGCCACCACTAGTCTTTTCCAAAAAGTGGAGAAACATTTATGTATCTAACATTTATGGAGTCCTAGTCCCTCAAGAGACTGCTGGTAGAGTAAACAAATAAGCACAACATTGTGTGAAAACACCACTAAGAAGTATGCAAACCTTGGGAAGGGAAGGGATTAAAAAAAGACTTAGGAAGTGATTGCAGAATCTGGTATGGAGATAGGAGCTGGGGGATGAGGAGTTGCCAAATTGAAAGGGGTAGGGGATGGGAAGAATAAGCAAACAGAAGAGCAACTAGAACTGAGTCTAGAGAGATAGTAGGAAGGGAAGTCATGAAGGACCATGCCATGCCACAGAATTTGTCCTTTACCTAAGACTTTAGGAACGAGTAAAAGTATCAGATTTGTTTTTTGGAGAGATGGCTCCAAGTGTAGTAGAGAATGGCTTCAGATGAGAAAGACTGTATATACATAATTGAGATGTGAAATTATAAGGGCTTGAGTAGTGATGCAGATTAGGAAACAAATCAAGTAAGATTGTTCTCTATACCTAGTTTGAAATTGATCTACATTTTGGCTGAGGATTCATAAAATACGTGCTTTCAGCTTTTAGAGAGCTGAGGAGCATAAGGACTTAAACACCTATCACAGTGCCTCACATGTAGTAGGTCAGTAAATATTAAAACTAATTACTGTTGCTTCTCAGTGGAACAGTCAGTCACCAGGATGAACCAGTTTTTGCTTTTGTTTTTATAACTTTGCCTATTTTGATTAAGATTAAGCTAAAGAATATCTGATAGAGTCAGTTATAAACAGAAATTCCCAATATAAGATTTTCTCAGATCACCAAAAGTTGGGATAATAGAGAAGGAAAATGGAAACCAAGAAGTGATTATTTCTAAATAAAAGGTTCTTTTCAGTGAAGAACTTTCAGAACAAAACTCTAAAGATCTGATTTTCAGCATGTTGAGTTGTAAGGTAATGGGCTAGATTGAAGCTTTTGTTCTCATTCTGCTGTTTCAGGACTATGAAATGATAAATCCAGTTTCTTGAGCACAAGCTATATGCAGAACATTGTGTTAATTATGAGACTTTTTGCTGCTGCTAGTTGTCAGAGGAGTAGCATAGATTATCAAAGGAGCTTAGAATCTGGTTGACGAATGCCTATAATATAAAAGTATAACTACATACAGAGAAGTCAGGATACCTATGTACCAAAAATACTATATAGAAATCCTTGACTAACAGAAAATTGAATCGTGCTGAATAAACATACCCGTTGCCGTCTTCATTTCTTACAATACTGTTTTTTATCCAGATGTATAGCCATGGAATTGAACTGGCTTGTCAAAAGCAGAAAGAGTTTGTGAAGAGCTCTGTGGCGTGCAAATGGAATCTCGCTGAAGCTCAGCAGAAACTTGGTAGCCTAGCCCTGCATAACTCTGAGTCCTTGGATCAGGAACATGCCAAAGCACAAACAGCAGTATCAGAGCTAAGGCAACGTGAAGAAGAATGGCGGCAGAAAGAAGAGGCTCTAGTACAGAGAGAGAGAATGTGTCTGTGGAACATGGATGCCATTAGCAAGGATGTTTTTAACAAGGTACGTACGACTTTTTACTGGATTAAAATGAGAGAAGAGAAAATGGAAGTGTTTGTACAAACCAGTTGTGCATATTTGGTAACAAAGCAACAAAACCTGTGAACAGTATTGAGTTTTGACAGTTTATGAAAAGTGTTTGTTACAGAAACCTATATCCCCAATAGGGTCAAATGTGAATAGTCATTAATATAAATACATGGCTGTAGCATAGCACACTGAATGTAAGGGTAGACTCTGGGATCAGACTGCCTTAGCTCTCAGCTTTGTCACATGCTGCTGGCTCTGTGACTGTGGGCAAGTCACTTACCATCTCTAAGCCTCAGTTTCTTCAACACTATGGGGGTGGTGGTATTAAGACTGAGGTAATTTCTTAAAAGCCCATAGGATAGGGCCAGGCAATTGGGAAAGCTCAGATGTTACAGGAGCTTTCTGATGTTGCTGTCAGCTTGCTCTCAGTTTTGTAACACTAACGTATAGATAGTGGATTTGTTAAATAATCTTTCAGTGTTACTTACCAGTATGTATTTAGTAAACTTCAGGTAGGGAGGGGCACCTGGGTAGTTCAGTCAGCGAAGCATTTGCCTTCAGCTCAGATCATGATCTCAGGATCCTGGGATTGAGCCCCACATCTGGCTCCCTGCTCCATGGCACTAGGGGGCCTGCTTCTCCCCGTCTCTCTGCCTGCTGCTTCCCCTGCTTGGTCTCTCTGTCAAATAAATAAATAAAATCTCTTTTTAAAAGGCGGAGGGGGGGGATCCATGGGTGGCTCAGCAGTTTAGTGCCTGCCTTCGGCCCAGGGCATCATCCTGGAGTCCCAGGATCGAGTCCCGCATCAGGCTCCCTGCATGGAGCCTGCTTCTCCCTCTGCCTGTGTCTCTGCGCCTCTCTCTCTCTCTCTCTCTCTCTCTCTCTCTCTCTGTGTGTGTCTCTCATGAATAAATAAAATCTTTTAAAATAAATAAATAGATAAGTAAACCTCAGATAGTAATCCAGATTTAGCATTACCAGCATTACCAAAGGACTAGTACAGAGCTTTTGCCAAGTTAGTAGTCATTCATTAAGAGTAGTGTTCAGTTTCTCACTGGATTATGTAGACTTTATTCTTTGACTGTTGTATCTGTTGAAGAAATGGGCAATGGAATTCATTTTTACTACGGTGTAAAGTATTACTTCTTTCTATTTGTACTAAATTCTCAAAGCTTCAGAGGTAGACTGCTCTTTCTAAGTCCACATTCACTTTTATCTTTAGCCATCATTACTCTCTAGACTTCTCCGTCTATAACACCATTTGTTTCTCTCCTAGCACCCACTCTCAACACATCCTCTTAAGCACTTTTAATGTCCTTCCCTTGGGCCAGCCCTAGTTCTTCTATATTAACAAGTAATATGCATATGTTAAGTGTACAACACCACTGACTCTATCGGTGCTTTATTAAATTGAGAAAAATTATGAGTACAGCATGCTTACCATGAAAAAAAGAGTATGTAAAATAGAATTGAAAGGTTTCCTTCACTTCTAGTTTCATTCCCAGAGATAACTGCTATTAACAGTGAGTTGTATCTTTCTAAACTTTTTACGTGCTTGTAGCATTGTGTGTTTATTTATTTTTTATTTTTTTTAAAGATTTTATTTATTTATTCATAGACACAGAGAGAGAGGAAGAGAAGCAGGCTCCATGCAGGGAGCCCGATGCGGGACTCGATGCTAGGTCTCCAGGATCACACCCCAGGCTGCAGGTGATGCCAGACCGCTGCGCCACTGGGGCTACCCGCATTGTGTGTTTATTATTGTGCACACACACACCAAGATCATTCATTATCTGAATGATTCACTGTATCTATATATATTTTTCTAAGGGGTGTGTATCCTTAGCCTTTATTTCTGGTTTGCATTTATACACATAACTACTTAAGGTAATTTTTTTCTTCCAGAAGGAGTGGTCAAAGTAGTGTTTCTTTGTTTTAAAAAGTTAATGTCTTTTTTTTTTTAAGATTTATTTTTTATTTATTTATGATAGAGAGAGAGAGAGAGAGAGAGAGAGAGAGGCAGAGACACAGGCAGAGGGAGAAGCAGGCTCCATGGCGGGAGCCCGACGCAGGACTCGATCCCAGGACTCCAGGATCGCGCCCTGGGCCAAAGGCCGGCGCGAAACCGCTGAGCCACCCAGGGATCCCCAAGTTAATGTCTTTTAACACAGTGGTCACAAAGAAAATATTTTCATTTGTCTCTGCTTTTATTTGTGCGTGCGTGTGTGTGTGTGTGTGTGTGTGTGTGTGTTTTAGGTTCTAACATAGCCTACATTTATATTTATACCACAAATTAATTAGGATTACTGTTCTAGTCATTTGGTCAAAATCGTACATTGGTTTTGTCTGTGAGCTTGAGACTTGAGAGCACTGGTCTAGATCTGTGCTGTCCAACTCGATAGCCGCTAGCCACATGTGTTATTGAGCGCTTGAAATGTGGCTAGTCCGAATTGAGATGTGCTGTAAGTGTAAAATACACACCAGATTCCAGTAACTTAGTACCAAAAAAAGTAAAATATTTTGTGAATAATTTTTTTGTCTTACATGTTGAAATGATCATATGTTGGATATATTGGGTTAAATAAACCAATTACCGATTTCATCTGTGTTTGCTTTTCAATGTGGCAAATACAAAACTTTAAATTACATTTGTGACTTGGATTGTGTTTCTATTGAACAGTGCTGGTCTAGATAGCAGGATATATAAAGGAAAAAATGTTTTTATTATGAAATATATAAACTTGGGATGCCTGGGTGGCTCAGTAGTTGGGCTTCTGCCTTTGGCTCAGGGCATGATCCCGCCGTTCCAGGATTGAGTCCCACATCGGGCGCCCTGCATGGACCCTGCTTCTCCCTCTGCCTGTGTCTCTGCTTTCTCTCTTTCTCATGAATAAGTGAATAAATAAAAATCTTTAAAAAAAAAAAATACAGACTTGTGTGTTTCTGCATTGTAAACTGATAGAGAGCTACTTTGGGATTTTGTTTTATGGCAGTGATGATTATAAGGTTTAAATGCGATCACAGAATGTTCTGTGAAACTGTCCTGCCAGTTTTCTGGCTAGATAAAAACTTCATCAGGGTCCATAAGTTATGGCTTATTTAACTGGAAATATTTCTTAATAGAAATTTGTACTTGATTTCAGAATCAAAGTGTTGGCCTATCCTAAGAAAAGTTTGCAGCAAAGGTCCATTTTAGGTTTATGTCCTGTTGGAGAAGCTATAGTAAATATACTTTATACACTTTGAATGTCTTAAGTTTATTTCTAGCAAGAACTCCAAAGATTTGTGTAGAGTTCCAAACATTTAATGGAAATGAATAATGCAAAATATATATTTGGAATGTAAAGGATCTTTCTATACTTTGATGGGGAAATTCCACTTAACAAAAAAGTTAATGCACTTGGATTTTTTGCTATGATTTCTAAAATAATTCTGTAATTTTGCACAGATTTTTTTTAAATAATGAAACTAATACAGGAAAATTTTAATTTTTTGAAAGAATTTTACAGACAAATTTAATAGTTATAATATCAGTATAATACTATACTACCTTTAAAAAAAATACTATACTACCTTTTAATAGTATCTGTAGGAAGCATTGCTAGGCATTCAGTACCTGAGAAAGAATATTCAAAGAATATAAAATCTGATTTTAACTTTAAGCATTTTTTTTCTTAGAGTTTTATTAATCAAGATAAAAGAAAAGAAATAGAAGATGAAGATAAATCAAAATCATTTATGCAGAAATATGAACAAAAAATCAGACATTTTGGTAAGTCTACTGCTTAGTTTCCTTATTTTATAAAGTGTTTGATATTGGGGCCCCAGGGTGGGTCAGTCAGTTGAGTGTCCAACTCTTGATTTTGGCTCCAGTCATGATCTCAGGGTTGTGAGACTGAGTCCTGGGTGGGGCTCCATGCTCAGCAGGGAATCTGCTTGTGATTTTCTTTTTCCCTCGCCCTCTGCCCTTCTGCTTATGTGCATGTGTGCTCTCTCTCTGTAAAATAAATATCTTTTTAAAAAAATGTTTGATATTGGGACACCTGTGTTGTTCAGTGGTTTGGCGCCTGCCTTCGGCCCAGGGTTTGATCCTGGAGACTCCGATTGAGTCCCATGTCAGGTTCCCTGCATGGAGCCTGCTGCTCTCTCTCTGCCTCTCCCTCTGCCTCTGTCTCTGCCTCTCTCTCTGTATCTCTCGTGAATAAATAAATAAAATATTTAATAAAAAATGTTTGATATCATAAATATGTATACAAACAATGTATTTATAAAATGGAAATTACACCTGGGTGGCTCAGTTGGTTAAGTGTCTGCCTTCAGCTCGGGTCATGATCCCAGAGTCCTGGGATTGAGCCTTGTATCAGGCTTCCTGCTCAGTGGGGAGCCTGCTTCTCCCTCTGCCTGCCACTCCCCCTGCTTTGTGTGCGCTCTGTCTTTCAAATAAATAATTTGTTTGAAAAATGTTTTTTAAAAAAGTGGGGTATGCCTGGGTGGCTCAGCGGTTGGGCGTCTGCCTTCAGCCCAGCGTGTGATCCTGGTGTCCTGGGATCGAGTCCCACATCGGGCTCCCTCCATGGAGCCTGCTTCTCTCTCTCTCTATGTCTCTGCCTCTCTCTCTGTCTCTCATGAATAAATAAATTAAATCTTTAAAAAAAAATAAATTTTTTTTTAAAAATGGGAGGGGGGACAAAAAGAAAGATAAATGACAAAACCAGTTTTATGGCTACTTCTGGCAAAGTTGTACAGTTCTTGCTTTATACTATTTTTTGGTCATAAATAGATTGACAGTAAACTAAATTGTGAAGAGAAGCAAAATTCAATCAATTCTTATATAATGCTACCCTCTAAGACACCGGTCTTTGCTTACTCCATGGCCTCTTTCCATTTCCCAACTAGTATTTGCTTTTGTCTTTTTCCTTCTTTGCTTCTGTGGTATCTGCTTATTTTATGGATATAAGATTAGTATTCGGGGCAGCCCGGATGGTTCAGTGGTTTAGTGCTGCCTTCAGCGGCCTGATCCTGGAGACTTGGGATTGAGTCCCATGTCAGACTCCGTGCGTGGAGCCTGCTTCCCTTTCTGCCTGTGTCTCTGCCTCTCTCTCTCTCTCTCTCTCTCTCTCTCTCTCTCTCGAATAAATAAGTAAAATCTTAAAAAAAAAAAAAGATTAGCATTCATTATTTTCAGATTTTGGATATGTTCATCTATAATTTATGTGGATCCTTAACTGCTATTCAGATAAACATAGTAATAGAAATATGTATACAAAGTACTGAAAAATTGTTTTTTCTATTGGGGAAAGACGATGGGTTGGGGTTTGATGTGGTGAAGACTTCCAACAAGAGAGAACATCTGAGTTAGATTATGAAGTTCTCCTTGTAGATAAGGAAGCACTAGCACTGTGTGCAAAAGCAGAGTCAGGAAACAACGTGCTATGTCGGGTAAGCGATGTAGTACCGCTGGAGTCAAAATGCCACTGGGAAATATTAGAGATTAAGGCTCAAGGCATATTATTTGACCCCAAGTAATATGTTAATTTAGTAAACATAGTTTTTATTTGTAATATGTTAATAAGCTTATTAATACATGGCATTTTAAAATGTATTTTCAATGTTTTCCCCCCCTAAGTATTTATTTACTTATTTTTAAAGATTTTATTTATTTACTCATGAGAAACTCATAGAGAAAGAAGGCAGAGACATAGGCAGAGGGAGGAGCAGGCTCCATGCAGGGAGCCTGGTGTGGAACTCGGTCCCAGGACTCCAAGATCATGCCCTGGGCCAAAGGTAGGTGCTCAACCGCTGAGCCACCCAGGCGTCCCTCCCCCTAAGTATTTAGAATTTCATTCATTCTTCAGGTTTATTAAAACAGTAGATAGTACTTCAGATTTTTTCCCCTTTTTCTGTAGTTTACTCATAAAGAATTTATTTTTCTCATATTTCTTATTTAAAAAAAAAGACTAAAAAATAAAAATAAAAATAAAAAAAAGACTGTATTCAGATTAATTCAAGGATAGGACCTGAAGAAATGAACATAAAGTTTTTACTTTTAAAAATTCTGTAAATGACTCTTAGTTGTGATAATGTGATTTACCTTTCCCACCTGTGGTCCTTGCTTCTTAGATCTATGTGTTCCACTGCCTCTAGCGGAATAGCCTCCTTCAGGGTCTTGTCACCCAGCTGCATGCCATGGGAAAACCTAGTAGGTGCAAAACAGTTCCCTCATTTTTGCTATAAACTGAATGCCTCAGTAAGAAACAGTTTCGTCTGGGGAAAAAACCTAATCTCACAAGGTATTGTAATCCACCTGGCACTATATTTAAGTCTTTAGTAAAGCATTTAGCCATTCCATAAAACCTGCGTCTGGGTAGTGATGTTTGTAAGACCAGTGAATTTCATGAACCTATTGTCTTCATGTCTTTTGCTGTAAAATGAATTTCTGCATCAAGAAATCATGTGTATGGGTACTAAATAACTCGTTTAGTAAGACCATAGGTGTATTAACTGGTAGAAGCATGGTGGGGAGGGAGGACAACACTGGATCTAGAATGGGTTTGTTCAAGTGAGGAAACACCTTTCCAAGATGAAATGGGACCAAGATAAACAGTTTGTTACTTGATGGTTGACTGGTCCATCCAGTATATGGTGCCATATTTAGTTTTCAGCACTGGATTCTGCTACAGGCAAGTTAGATATTCAGAGGCTATACTGGAATATTGTTGATGGGGTGATCCTGTGCCACTGAATGTCTGCCACCATGACCCCTGAGTTTAGAAACTATATTATGCAAGTAGGGAGATAGATGGCTGAGGAAAAAGGCTGACTTGACATCCAAAAGTGATTAATAAGCAGCAGCTTTGCCATTGCATGTTGGGGGCTTCCAGTGTCTCATCCTCTTATACTGACCAGAGCCTTCCTGTCTTCAAAGCCAGCCAGACCTGATAGCTACTCCCAGATTCACATTGTGCCTGTTTCTTAATGGAAATATACAGTAGCTTTTTACTTCGGAGAAGATATCCTACTTGCCACAGCTCCTTGGATCCCCAGAATGTTACTGAGGTGGTAGGCTCCCAAATCTTCATTTGTATCTTACCAAGACATTTGGATCCCTACTACTTCCTGCTTGCCAAGTTCCATCGGTATGAAGTGGGCCAACTTGGAGTCATGTGGGATGATGAGGTGATAAAAGTCCCTGTGGACTAAATTGTGGCACAGAGCTGACAGGGACCTTAGGCAAGGTAGTGAAAGTTTAATGCTTTTCCTGATGGGTGGAAGCAAATGTTTCTGGAGTTAATGCTTTTTGCGGTAAAGATTCGGAGGGGAGCATTTGTCATATGACTACATTGATAGACTTCTTCAAAGCAAACACATCTGGAATAAATGCAGCTGTAATTAAAGCTTCCCACTAAAGGCTTTTCAAACTTGGATTGCATTCCAGACTCTTGGAAGACCTGGGCCTGATACCTGGGGGGCTGGGAAGGGCTCCAGGGGCTTGATACCAGTACTTCTCTGTGGTTTTGTGTGTACTTGACATTAACATTTCCATTAGGGTATTTCTTTTTTTGTTTTTTGTTTGTTTGTTTGTTTTAAGATTTTATTTACTCATGAGAGACGGGGGGGGGGGGGGGGGGCGTGGAGCCACAGACACAGGGAGAAACAGGTTCCATGCAGGGAGCCCAGTGCGGGACTCGATCCCAGGTCTCCAGGATCACCCCCTGGGCTGAAGACAGCGCTAAACCATTGAGCCGCCCGGGCTGCTCTTCCATTATTTGTTGACTATCGTACTTTTGCTCTAATAAGTAGATGAACTTTACCATTTAATGGTAAATAGTATGACCATATCGTGGAGTATTTTAAAGCAGTGAAATCTTGATTTTTTTCTCCTTAACATATTTAATTCATTAATTTAGTTAATTCATGTTTTATAAATGAAAAATACCAGTTTAGCAACAAAGTCTATTTTCTTTTAAATTTCAGAGTAGTTTTATTCAATGTCATATGCATCTTTGACATCATTTTTGATCATCAGAGTGGCTTTTAGATGATCTAGCATAGTTTTTCATGGCATATCCTCTCTTCACTTCCAGTCAAAGTTAGCTGTGATTTAAGATTTTTGAGTCTTGTCACTGGAAATTTTACCAAAAGCTAAAATGTTTGTATAAATATTGTGATGGATCTTTCTCATTTGTGTGGAAGGTAGATAATTCACTCTCCTCATACATATTGCTTTTCAAAAACACATTAATGTCCTGTTTTTTTGCTTTTTTTGTTTTAAGATTTTATTTATTTATGAGAGAGACAGAGGGAGAGAGAGGCAGAGACACAGACAAGGAGAAGCAGGGTCCCTGCAAGGAGCCCAGTGTGGGACTTGATCCTGGATCCTGGGATCACACCCTGAGCCGAAGGCAGACATTTAACCGCTCAGCCATCCAGGTGTCCCTAATGTCCTGTTTTTGAAAGACATTTAATATAAATATAAAGTACCCCTGAATAGAACATGGACTGAAATTAATAGAAAATTAATATATATAACAGGATTCTAATTTTAACTCATTAAAATACAAGCCCAGAAAGAAATGCATTAAAGTGTTAACATTAATTTTCTCTTGTAGGATTGCAGATGATTTTTCTGGATTTTTCAAATTCTTCACAATGATCATACAATTTTTTTATAATATGAAAAAAAATACTTTGAAAGGGTTTATCCTAAGAATTCAAGGATGGGTTAACATTGGAAAATTTATTAATGTGATTCACCATATTTTAATAGTTGGTAATAGTATAAACCACAGGACTTGGTGATCAGTTTGATGTGGGAGGAAAGGAAATGTCTAGAGGAATTTCTAGAATTTTTGAGTGGGTGACCTAGGAGCACTGTAGATGGCAGGGAGAGAAAGACGGGTTTAGTTTCAAATAAAATGACTATGTGCAAGTGTGTAGGTAGAAATAGTTGTCTAGTGGTAGGTTATTGAAATACAGGAGACACAGGACCTGGGAAATACAGAAAAATAGGTCATTTTTCTTTCATTAAGACATTTACAACGTTTTGGGGAGGTTTTTAGCAGTTAGAGACATTAAAATAATTAGTATAATTTAGAGGATTCAAATCTATTACTCTGTAAGTATAAAGCAAAGAAGAAAGAGAAAGAGATGTGTGTATTGGAAGACTATTTTAAGAATCAGGTGGAATGGGCAGCCCAGGTAGCTCCGCGGTTTAGCACCGCCTCCAGTCCAGGGCGCGATCCTGGGGTCCCAGGATCGAGTCCCACATCAGGCTCCCTCTGTGGAGCCTGCTTCTCCCTCTGCCTGTGTCTCTGCTTTTCTTTCTCTCTGTCTCTTGTGAATAAATAAATAAAATCTTTAAAAAAAAAAATCAGGTGGAATACTGAGAGCTGATGGATGGATTGCAAGTTAGACATTCAGGAAAATACATAGGTGAAAGCACATAATTAAAATATTTTAATTTATCAAAATAGGGGTTTTCAAGCATTCAGAGATTGGTTGGCTAGTTGAAATAACTAGATTAATCTTAACCAAAGGATTTCATGTTTAATTGCAAGAATGAATTTTTCCTTTTTGTGTTGATAGTACCTAATATTTACTCTCTCTGTCAAGCACTGTCTTGTGTGCTTTATGTGTATTAACTCATTTAATTCTCACAGAAACCCTCTGAGATACTGTTATTTGCCCTATTTTACAGAAGAGTAAAATAAAGGGAGGCAGAAATTGACCTATGCAGTTGACTTCCAGAGTTGGCTTGCTTAGTCACTGTGCTAGATTGTGCTACTTTCTATTTGTTTATGTTTGTTTACAAATTCCAAAATAACATTAGTAATTTCAGCTATGTTCTGTTCTACTAAAGCCATTGATTATCTGTAAGTATTTTGTTCATAAGATTCCATATTCTTTCTCCAGAGGTGTGTATGGACTCCCTGTAACCTAACCTCGATTTGATGGTAATTGATAGGCATTTTTGAAATCAGGTGGTGATAGGTGTTTCTCAGATAAAGAAAAGCTGTGGTCAACCTCAAGTATTGTTTTTATCTTAGTTATTAAATGGATAGTTTAAAAATTGTAACATTTAATGATACCCATTCCTCATGATCCCTAAAAGTGTAACTATTTTATATTATCCTTCCTGTAAAAGAAGCCAAAATAGATAAGATTTTGGTGCCACAGTAAGTGATGATGCTGCCATGGAGAAGTAAATAGAAGCAATGCTCTATGGATGGTGGATAGCGTTAAAAATACTTCCTCTTCTGGAATATAATAAACCTAACACAAAACTGCTTCATAGGATTTATTTTATGGCTTTAGGTATAAGGAAGAAAGATTATGCCTTCTTTAGATCTGACCCTCAGAAGTTATTATTTTTTTATTTTTTTTAATTTTTATTTATTTATGATAGTCACAGAGGGAGAGAGAGAGGCAGAGACATAGGCAGAGGGAGAAGCAGGCTCCAGGCTCCATGCACCGGGAGCCCGATGTGGGATTCGATCCCGGGTCTCCAGGATCACGCCCTGGGCCAAAGGCAGGCGCTAAACCGCTGCGCCACCCAGGGATCCCAGAAGTTATTATTATTAGACTGTTTATACCTTGAGAAGTAGTTTTAAGTAACTTTCTAAATCATTTTTTCTCAGAATTTAAAACTCTTTAATCACTATATCCAAAGTGTCGGAGATAAATACTTTATAAAGCGTGTAAACTCTTTACATGAAAATACTAAAATGCTTATTCCTTTTTTTTAAATGAGAAAGTTAATCGTTTATTTTCATTTGATTTCTATGTGTTGCTAAATGTGTATTTTTCAGTAAGACATTTGTCCTCAGTTTTTTTCTCGTGTTCTAATGTGGAACTTTAACGTATAGAAGTTCAATTTGTCTCTAGAGGAAATATTTACTGTCAAACTGTTAACACCATCTTAATACAATTTCCATAATGATTCAATGACATACAGACTTCTTTGGATGAGTCTTTTTTTTTTTCTTTTTAAAGATTTTAGGGATCCCTGGGTGGCGCAGCGGTTTGGCGCCTGCCTTTGGCCCAGGGCGCGATCCTGGAGACTCGGGATCAAATCCCACGTCGGGCTCCCGGCGCATGGAGCCTGCTTCTCCCTCTGCCTATGTCTCTGCCCCTCTCTCTCTCTCTCTCTCTCTCTCTCTCTCTCTATCATAAATAAATAAAAATTAAAAAAATATTTAAAAAAAAGATTTTATTTATCTATTTGAGAGAGAGAGAGAGAGAATGCACAAGCAGGAATAGAGGAAGAGGGGGAAGCAAACTCCCCACTAAGCAGGGAGCCTGATGTGGGGCTCAATCCCAGGAACCTGGGATCATGACCTGAGCCGAAGGCAGACCCTTAACCAAGTGAGCAACCCAGGCCCTGGATGAGTCTTAAGAATCTAAAGCTAACATAGTTAATTTGTTCAAGTGTAAGGCTTACAGAACAAAATTTAAAGCTGAACACTTTGATGGTTCCATGATGGCATTGACTTTTTCACCAAATTTCTTACTAATTTGAATACCTTAAGTAGTATTTGAATAAGCATGATATTTTTTGAAGCAAAATGGCAGAGATGCCTGGGTGGCTCAGTGGTTGAGCATCTGCTTTGACTCAGGGTGTGATCCCAGAGTCCCAGGATTGAGTCCCACGTCGGCCTCCCTGCATGGAGCCTGCTTCTCCCTCTGCCTGTGTCTCTGCCTCTCTCTCTCTCTCTCTCTCTCTCTCTCTCTCTCTCTCTCTCTCTCTGTGTCTCATGAATAAATAAATAAAATATTTTTTAAAATGAAGCAAAATGGCATCTTCTTTCAAGTATGCTTAATGTGATTGTGTTTTCTATGTGTTACAAACATGACTAAATGATTAAGATGACTAAAATGTTTAAAGTATATTTACTATTTTAATACCTACTGGATTGGTTTTCTGTGCTGTCAACATTTGACCATATCATCTTAGACATTTTAAAATAAATTAGAGATAATGTGGTTTTTCTATTGTATTGTTTTGCTAAATACAGTTTCTTGAGATTTTGCTATATGTTATCTTTCTAATAGAAAAATTTGTATTCTGTGAATAAATAATACTGAGTTTCTTGAAGTCATTTGTACTCAGTTCAGCCAAGGTTGTCCAGCCATCTCAGTTTGCCTGGAACTTCAGGCATTTCCCAGGTGCAGAGTTTTTTGGCTTTAAACCAGTCACCCTACTTTAACCTAATTATTTAAAATAAAACTTTCTGTGAACTTGAAAAGCTATTTCCAGTATATTGAGTATTGCTTTATTTGCTCTTTTACCATAACAAATTGCTGTGGTACTGTGAATTATCTTTAAAGAGAATCATTTTGAAATACTAATTTCTTTGTTTATAAGAGTATCTGACAATTGTAGTTTAATTCTTGGGTTTTTTTGTTTGTTTTTTGTTTTTTTTTTTACAGGTATGTTGAGTCGATGGGATGATAGTCAGAGATTTTTGTCTGACCATCCATACCTTGTATGTGAAGAGACTGCTAAATATCTTATTTTATGGTGTTTTCATCTAGAAGCTGAGCAGGTATCATGTAAACCTTTGAGTTTCTGAAACCTTAGTGGAATTCTGGTCTACTTTTTGTTTTTTTTGTTTTGTCTTTTATGTTACTTTGAATGAAAACAAGAAGGTTATTAAGTGGAATTAATAATCTTTTTGTTTTTAATTTCCTTGAGTTTACTGTGGGAGTATTTTTCATTGTTTTAGTTAGCATATGGAAACTTTTCTCTGATGTGCTCTCTTTGCAGCCTCATTTCTCTGTTCCCACATACTATAAACCTTTTTCTTTTATAACCTATTGAAAAATCGTGTTTTAAAATTCAAATAGTAATCACAATATTAAATACATTTCCAGGGGTATTTCTCATAATTTTAATCTCTCTATTTTCAGAAAGGGGCTCTAATGGAACAAATAGCACATCAGGCTGTTGTAATGCAGTTTATTATGGAAATGGCCAAAAATTGTAATGTGGATCCAAGAGGGTGTTTTCGTTTATTTTTCCAGAAAGCCAAAGTAAGTATTTAATATTTTTAAATGAGAAGATTAAGCCTTAAGTGAGACCTCTTTGGTCCATATACATCAAAGATAGCCATCCAACTAGAATGCCACAAGCTAAAGTCTGTATAGATATTATAGTGAGAAAAAAATTACATTGCTGATTTCATGCTAATTTAGACTTAAGGGAGCTCTGTAAGAGGCTATACTGTATCATGCACATGAAATTGAGACTTGTTTAGATGAATGTGTTTAGGAAAATTAGAGTGGTGCATCATTTATTCAGCCAATACGTATTGACTGTCTTGCAAGGACTGTTCAAGATGCTAAGGATACAGTGTTGAATGGAACAGATAACAGTATATTCCATGTTTAGAACTCACAATTTAACAAAAATAAAAAAAAGAAGTCACAGTTTAATGAGAAATGACTTTTGTAATGAAATAATAAGAAACAACCTGAAATTTCAATGACTAGAAGAATGTTTAAAACCTGTGGCACAGGGATCCCTGGGTGGTGCAGCAGTTTGGCGCCTGCCTTTAGCCCAGGGCGCTATCCTGGAGACCCGGGTTCGAATCCCACGTTGGGCTCCCGGTGCATGGAGCCTGCTTCTCCCTCTGCCTGTGTGTCTGCCTCTCTCTCTCTGTGTGTGTGACTATCATAAATAAATATTTAAAAAAATAAAATATAAAATAAAACCTGTGGTACAGGGGCAGCCCGGGTGGCTCAGCGGTTTAGCGCCACCTTCAGCCCAGGGCGTGATCCTGGAGACCCAGGATTGAGTCCCACATCGGGCTCCCCCTGCTTGGAGCCTGCTTCTCCCTCTGCCTGTCTCTGCCTCCCTCTCTCTCTTTCTCTCTCTCTCTCTCATGAATAAATAAAATCTTTAAAAAAGTACTTTGTTTTTCAGCTTATTATTGGATATGTTTGAACTAATGCTTTTTTTTTTTTTAAGATTTTATTTATTCATTCATGAGAGACACAGAGAGAGAGGCAGAGGCACAGGCAGAGGGAGGAGAAGCAGGCTCAAGGCAGGGAGCCTGATGCGGGAATCAATTCTGGGACTCCAGGATCACGCCCTGAGCCAAAGGCAGGCGCTAAACGGCTGAGCCACCCAGGGATCCCCCTTTTTTCTTTTTTCTTTTTTTTTAAGATTTTGTTTATTTATTTGAGAGAGAGCGCATACAGAGGGAGTGGGAGAAGCAGACTCCCTACTCCCTACTGGATCTCCCTACTGAGCAGGGAGTCTGTTGTGGGGCTCTATCCCAGGATGCTAAGATCATGACCTGAATCGAAGGTGGACACTTAACCTACTGAACCACTCAGGTGTCCCTGAACTAGTGCTTATTAATAGGATAATGGAACATAGCCAAACCATATTTATTCTTTAAAATTTACTTTGTCAAAATAGAAGTGAAAAGTCTCTAATCTTAGCATTTTGTTGTTAATAGTTTTTTTAAATTAAGGAATAACTGACTTTCAGGGTACTTATTATTTTGTGCCAGGTACTATTCTAAGCACTTTACATGGATTAACTCATTAAATCCCCATAAGATTTTGTGAAGGTTATTATTTCTGTTTTACAATTTAGGAAACTAGCATATAGAATAGATTACTTAAAGGAAAAATCAGTCAAGTCTCTCCAGATCTAAATCCCTAGGCCTTCCACATGCAGTAAAGCCAGAAGTTGAGCCACTTGGCTCCTCTCATAGTTTGTTGCAAAACCATTTGAGAAGGATCACTTCTGGATCTGAAGGCTAATGTCCTATGTGTCTATATAAGTAGCATATATTGATTAAAGTGAAATACTATAGTTGGATTAAGGAAATGATTGCTAAATTCATAAAAATATAGAATAGCAACACAGAACATTGTGTGATTTGTATAGATATTGATGTTAATAACTAACTCGCAAGTTTTAATTTGATTACATAACCTAAACTACATTAAAGAAAAAATAGCATTCTACACAAAGGGCCCAATGATATTATGGAATGAGATTTTGCTAAAATCCCTTACATCAAAAAAAAAAAAAAATCCCATCACCTGAACTTAAAGCCTGAAGTCCTATTAGTGGAGGATAAGTGCTGTGTCATTCTTTGCAGAGGAAACAAGTGGAGGCTACTGCTAGTTGGTTGTTTTACATCAAGAATCTCGATTATGTTATACATCATAGGAGGGAGGTCTCTTCCAGCAACATAATACTCCTACTTTTTTCTATGATGTTGAAAACGTAGTTGTTTCACTAAAACAGATACTTCCAGAATGGAATTGAATATTGAATTTTATTTGGTTTTAATGCTTTTACGAACAGGGAGTATAGAGCTGGAGAATTACAGAAACAGATAATAGTGCCCTATCATTAATTGATGGACAATTAGAAGGTTTTAAGAACATCCCTTGCCTTTGCTTGGCAATGTGAGAGGTCAAGTGAGGACTATTTTGGATCCTGACAAGAATCAAGAAATACAGAGAATTCCTACTTTTGTTATCTTTGTGTGTGTACATATGTATGTGTGTGTGCGCATGCGTGTGTGTGTGTGTGTGTGTGTGTGTGTGTGTGTGTGTGTGTTTGTTTTATATTACTGGACCAGAGGGAAATGGAACACACCAGTAGTTTTCACAAATCTGACAGGGATTTTGGGTGGTATCTACGTACATTTAAACAGTTCGCCTTATCTTTACTTCCTCCACTTCAGATCTAATACATGTTTGTTAGAATTTACTGTGTGGTCTGAAAGTCTTGAAAAATACGTCTTTGTTTTCTGTGTTTCTCCAGGCAGAGGAAGAAGGTTATTTTGAAGCATTCAAAAATGAACTTGAAGCTTTCAAGTCAAGAGTCCGACTTTATTCTCAGTCACCAAGTTTTCAGCCTATGACAGTTCAGAATCATGTTCCCCATTCTAGTGTGGGATCTATAGGTTTGTTAGAATCCTTACCACAGGTAAGTTGGAAAAGTAAATATTTGTTTCATAAATTTATTCACATAATTTTTGTTATTTTGGACTACTCTTTGTTCTTACATATGATATGTGTGAGATCATTTTAAATATTCTTGCCTAAGAAAATAACTTCATTTCATGCCATGTTTTGACACTAAATCTCTTCCATCTACTGCGTATTTTGAGAGACACCAACTTCTACTCCTTTAAATATAGAAGAGATGAGTTACTCCTAAGCACTCTTAAGGGCAAGTGTTACCTGTTGATCATTTTAATCATAAACTTCTCAAGATGGTTCCTGAGGAACATCTCATTCTCAGCGAACTGTACTATTAAGAATTTCTTAGGATGGGGGTGCCTAGGTAATGCATTCAGTTGAGTGACCACCTCCTGGTTTCAGCTTGAGTCGTTATCTTGACAAGGAAGATCATGGAATCTTGTCATGGAATCAAGCCCTGTGTGAGGCTCCCTGCTCAGCACAGAGTCTGCTAAAGTTTCTCTCCCCCATGCGTCACCCACCACCCCCTTGCATGCTTACACACCCTCTAGCTCTCAAATAAAAAATACTTTAAAAAAAAGAAAAAGAAAAAATAATTTCTTAGGATGGATTAACTTCAGAGCATACATCCTGTGGCAACCCAGGTGATTTGTTCCATGAGTTTATTTAGTATTATGAAATGTTAGTGTTGCCTGCCAGAGGTAGCATTTTTATTTGTTTTTTTTTATTTTTATTTTTTTTTGCTGTTTTTTTTTTTTTTTAATTTTTTTATTTATTTATGATAGTCACACAGAGAGAGAGAGAGAGGCAGAGACATAGGCAGAGGGAGAAGCAGGCTCCATGCACCGGGAGCCTGACGTGGGATTCGATCCCGGGTCTCCAGGATCGCGCCCTGGGCCAAAGGCAGGCACTAAACCACTGCGCCACCCAGGGATCCCCAGAGGTAGCATTTTTAATACGTTAACGCACCTTCTGTTAAGGTGCTCTTTCTAGTAATGTTCACCGACTGTTTGAGCCTCTGTGAGATCAAAATAAAGGTCTGTTTCTAGCATGAAACAATTTCTGTCAGAAGAAGGAAATTTAAGTTACCACTAGAAAGTTGCTGCCCATGTTTATTTTAGTAGCATTTTAATTGAGCCCAGTCATCTCGCATTTCCAGGCTGCAAGATTTCAAGACCAGCTTTAGCCAGTTCAGTGTGTGGCCTACACGGTGAAAAGGACAGTCTCATTCAGAAGACAATATGAAGAGAGCCCTGTAGTTTTAAATCTCATTAAGTGGTAGGATGGAGATTTTCAGTATCTATACCTCATACCTCTATAATTTCACCATTTCAGTTACATAAATCATAGGCCAAAGTGACAATTAAGGAAAGCAATTGATAATATTCGACTCAGCCAAAAATACTAATTCTCAAGGATAAAAATAATCAAGGTCTTGATTTTTACATAATTAGTAATTCTACCCCTTAGTTGCATATATTAGCAATTTTCCCCTTCCAGGGATCCCTGGGTGGCGCAGCGGTTTGGCGCCTGCCTTTGGCCCAGGGTGCGATCCTGGAGACCCAGGATCGAATCCCACGTTGGGCTCCCGGTGCACGGAGCCTGCTCCTCCCTCTGCCTGTGTCTCTGCCTCTCTCTCTCTCTCTCTCTCTGTGACTATCATAAATAAATTAATTAATTAATTAATTAAAAAAAATTCCCCTTCCATTTGTTCTACAGAATATCTCTTTCTGCTCTTTAAATGTAGTAATGATTTTCTCTTCCGTTCTTTGAGAAATAGCCCACAGGAAAGTAGTCTTTCCAAGGGAATTTTATGACTGTAAGACACTGTCAAGTCTAATATATAACCTAAAATTAAGATGTCACATAATGAAAACAGATGAAGAAAGAGACTTTGAAGAATATCATTGGTTCTAAACATAAGAGGGAAAAGACACGAGCTAAAATATCATAATAGGCCTGTATTATCAACAAGTTGCTTTTCATTTGGGAGAAATAAGTTCTTACTGCATGCATCAGCTTTCGAATCTGCTGCTCGGCCTCCCCTGGTGAGATGAGGGGCTGGGACTATACAACTTTGACACTTGAAAGTTGCTGATATTTCAGGATTGTTCAGACCTAATTCACTTGGGCCAACAGTCTAATTCCTTGTGGTTGAAGTTGACCATCCTGGTCTATCCCTCCTGAGGAAGCAAAGGGCTGGATGATATTTCAGCTAGATACACAGAAGGACTGTGGACTAGGTGACAGAGAGCTTCTGAAAGAAAAGCTTCCTGCGATAATTATATCCCATTTTTATTACATTTGTTTATAGATTACAAAACATGTTCACCTGTTGTTTCATTTAATCTTCTCAAAAGCCTCGTGATTTCTTTTCATTCATTTTTATGGATGAATAAACTGAAGCTCATGAAGGTAGGTGAAGGCAGTGTGCCTGAAATCAGGACAGGAAGCAATGGGGCTAATCCTGTAATCCTAGTGTCTGTTCTACTTCACTGTTCATTCACCTGCACTCCAGATTGTTGTTGAATCCTATGCTGGAGATAGGACAGGAGACACAGATGTGTGTGTGCTCTTACAGAGGGACTTGTCACAGGACAGGAGACACAGATGTGTGCTCTTACAGAGGGACTTGTCACTGAAATGAGAAAGGTGTTGAGAATACTACCAGATGAAAATATGGGGTAGCCAGCGGAATTTATAGAGTAGGTTAGGTATGTTGATTGCTTTTTGTTTTTTTAAGTCTCTGCATGATGAAGCCTTAGAGTTCTCAGGGAGATGGATGAGTTCTGGGGGAACTCCAGTCCAGTCTTGGTAGGATAATTAAAAGCTCTGTTCTGAGGGCCTTTGGAATTGGGTTTGCATTGTCAAAAAAGGTCATAGCACTCGTTTCTTTGGAAAATGGGATAATCTAATGAGAGTTCAATAATTTTTTATAAAACTTAAATTTGGGAATAAATAAATACATACATACATACATACATAAATAAATAAATCAATCTATCTATCTATCTATCTATCTATCTATCTATCTATCTATCTATCTATCTTAAATTTGTGGAGGACACCTGGGTGGCTCAGCAGTTGAGCGTCTGCATTTGGCTCAGGGCGTGATCCCAGAGTCCTGGGATCAGGCCCCACATTGGGCTTCCTGCATGGAGCCTGCCTCTCCCTCTCTCTCTCTCTCTCTCTCTCTCTCTCAGTCTCTCATGAATGAATGAATGAATGAATGAATGAATGAATGAATAAATAAATAAATAAATAAATAAAATATTTTTTTAAAAAAATTTGCATTAACACTTCAGCTTTTAATTTTTTTTTCGTTGACAACCGTCTTGTGAAATAGCCAGATACCACCATCCTTAGTTTTGCGAGAACTAAACCAAGGCCTCTTGGACAGAAGTCCAAGTTACCTTAGGTTTATCCTATAGACTTGGTTTCAATTTTATTAAATTGTGAAGAGTGGTTTTCTCTCTAAGGACATTAGGTGGAAGAGGCAGGATTAGAACAGAGGTCCAACATTACTGTAGTATTCCAGACCCCAGTCAGTCATCTCTGCCACTGCCTTCATCAAGACTTGATTGGGGGGGATCCCTGGGTGGCGCAGCGGTTTAGCGCCTGCCTTTGGCCCAGGGCGTGATCCTGGAGACCCGGGATCGAATCCCACGTCGGGCTCCCGGTGCATGGAGCCTGCTTCTCCCTCTGCCTGTGTTTCTGTCTCTCTCTCTCTCTCTGTGACTGTCATAAATAAATAAAAAAAAATAATTAAAAAAAAAAAAGACTTGATTGGGAATAATCTTGACTTCTGGCTAGCTTTTTGACTTTTACAAATACAATGTAATAGAATCACAATGTATTGTACTTTATTAAGAGCATCTTTTGAAACCTTTTGAAAATAGCTTTTGACTTTTACAAATAGAATATAATAGAATCACAATGTGTATTTTACTTTATTAAGAGCATCATTTGAAAACTCTGCCTCCCTTTGGGTGGGAAAGTTTAAGACATCTATCCTCTGGCCGGATTATTTTCCTCATTGTTGTTCATTAAATAAAATAAGCAAATGGGATCCCTGGGTGGCGCAGCAGTTTGGCGCCTGCCTTTGGCCTAGGGTGCAATCCTGGAGACCCGGGATCGAATCCCACGTCGGGCTCCCAGTGCATGGAGCCTGCTTCTCCCTCTGCCTGTGTCTTTGCCTCTCTCTCTCTCTCTCTCTCTCTCTCTCTCTCTCTCTCTCTCTCTCTCTCTCTCTCATAAATAAATTTTTTAAAAAATTTTAAAAAATTAATAAATAAAATAAGCAAATGAAAACAGATGATAACGGTAGTAAAACTCTGAGTACCTAGCAGATACTCAGAACAACTGAATAGACAAAATTGAATTCTTAGGGAAGAATTTCCTAAAGTCCTGGGTCTTATGGGCTTATTTCCCTAGTCATGGTGCTTTAATAAATAATAGTTTTATTTTTACTTTTATTGAATAAGGTTTTCTTCCTAGCTTTAGAAGTATACAGTTAAAATATTTATGAGTTTTAAAAATAAAATCCAAATTAAAATGTTCTTTTATTCTCCATGTTAAAATATGGATCTAAGTACCTCTCAAAAGATTAATAATTCCTCACTTTTTAACTTTTGAAAAACCAAAATAGACTCTGAAGGTAGCTATAATTTTTACTTGGTAAATGGATTTTTTTCCTTATTCAGAATAGTGTTTTCCATTTTTAATACTTAATGGGGTAATTAGTAATTTCAAAATGCATTGCCAATTTAAAGTGGTATTTATCTTTTAAATAATCCATAGCTTTGTATATACAATTATATGGAAGATGTAGCCTTATATGATTAAATAAATTGCAAGTTTTGTTAAAAGGGGAAAAAGTTAGTGTTTATTCCAGTTTTATTTTTTACATATGTCATCCTGTCTTTGTCACATCTTCTTTGGATCAAGTGGTCCAGTCTTTTTTTTTTTTTTATCTTTTTGGGTTTCACCCCAAGTTTGACTTCAAAGTCCATTTGCTTTCCCCCCTACTTTGCATTTACTACACTGAAGAGAAATAGTGTGAAACTGAATATGTAGTTGCATATACTGGCATAAAACTGGTTATCATCTATTGTTTCTTCCCTATATTTTTTTTTCCAGAATCCAGATTATCTTCAGTATTCTGTCAATACAGCTCTTTGCAGTTTAAACTCAATGGTACATAGAGAAGATGATGAATCCAAAATGATGGACACTGTATGATTTGGTTAAGACTGCTGAGGCCAAGTACTATTTTGTTACAAGAAAGGAAGAACTTGGCTATTTTCTTGACACTTTTATGGGTGCTGCACTTTATTTTTGTTCGGTTTTGATGGGAGGGGAAAAAAGAGTACTGAAACGTTTTGTAAAATTTTTTTTATGTGCTGCTAGGTTTTTTGATTTTTTTTCGGAAGAGAGGAGTGGTACCATATGTTGAAGTCAAACTGGACTTTTTTTTGGCTACTAAATTTGCCTTTAATCTTATTGTTCTCAGTTTTGGAATCAAAGTATGAAAATCTGCACAAATGCAATGTTTACAAGAACTGGTTGATTCTAGGAGGCATCTGCTACAGTCTCTTTTTATATGGATATGTACATGTCCTACTCTACAAAAATGATTAAAGATAAAAATGTACTTGTATCCTACTGCTAATTTAGCTGTCAAATCTGGTGTTTCATCATATTAAAAGCAATAAATCAGTAGTTGATAATCTACTTTACTAAATAAGCTGGGTGGTGAAAATTAAAGTCTTTCCCTTTAAAATAATATTACATTTGTATTTTCGACACCATCAGTTAAATCCTTAATTATAGTATCATTTTTATGTAGACTGACTTTATCCCCTATGTATTCTCAAAACTGTATTATTTAGAAGTCAATTTTACCCTGTTGACTTTTTAATATTAAGGGTTATAGTAATATAAAAACTGATAAAGCTAATACAATTTTTACAATTTTTTTTTTTTTTTTTTTTTTTTTTAGTGAGATCAAGTTTGAACTCACTCTTAATTTCTTTACTTGACATAGTCTGGGATCTCTCAGGGAGCAAGTTTTAAAAGAATACTAATGGCCTGTAAGAACAAACGGGAAGAATAATCTGATTTTTAAAATCATGGTGGAAAAAAAAATAAAATAAAATCATGGTGGTTTCATTCTGATGGTAGCCCAAGGACTTTTTTAAAGGCAGGAGAAATCTTGAAGACCCAATTGCCTCAAGCTGCCAACTCCTTATTTCTAAGAATCTGGTGATCCTTGTCGGTAATGATGGCTTTTACTACATTTGTCATTTCTGTCCTTAGGTCAGTTACCATAGGATGCTTCTGAGCTTTACTACTTCTTATATAATTCATTTCAAATGTGCCAGGGTATTTCATTATTCATTTGGAATTAGATGACCATGCTATCCTTATTATTGAGGATTTGTCTTCTGACTTAGGGGAACATGGGCTTTGGTGTGTATCCGGTGTAGTCTCTGGCTCAGTCCCATTGAGAGTAGTAGCACATGTTTGGAAGATGGCTGACTGGAATTGGGAATACATGTCTCAATTTGAGAAACCAAATAATGCTAAGGGACCCATACGGTGATCAAACCTGTGACCATGGCCTCATTTGCACCTTGTTTTAACTGAGGTGATAAGGCACGTAGTACCCATAGAAATGGACCGGAATTACTGAATCATACTTCTGTAACATCACAATCTTCCTGGTTTTCAGAATAAAACTTTTTGTGCTTTTGATATAAGTAAATACTCTATAATAAAATACTTGACTAATTTATATGGTAGTATTCATCAGCCTGTAATTTTTTAACCAATAGCCTAGTTATAGAAGTTGTTTTTTTTTTTTTTTTTTTTTTCTGTTCTGGAGCAAGCTCTTGTTTTCCCCTCCTGTCAAATAGAGATTGGACACAAGAGTGAAACGCTTGATTTCACAGATTTGTGTTACTTGAGCCTTTACTTTCCATTTCTCAACTTCACCTTTCCCCAGGATCTGCCTGGAAGTGCCCAAATTGTTTTTTGAATTTCATTTGCCTTCTTTAAGTTAGAGGTAAAATGACTAAGTATTGGGAAGAAAGAAAGGACCAACAGAGTAAAACTACTCCTGAACAGTTTTTTGGCTGTGTTCTCTGAAACAGGAATTACCAAGAGCTATTTAAGATGTGGCTATATATTTTTTTTTACTTTTGAAGGGAAGGGTTCTGTGTTTTGTATGTACATGAGATTGGATTTACTCTAGGAGCCCCTAAATACCATGGTTTGCACTTAAAGATTATAACTGACATATTTAGCAGTACTTTAGTGCTAAGAACATTAAATTGACACCCTTTTTTTCTTTACTGCTAAGAACTAACCCCTTTTAAGAAAAATATCCTCTTTTCTGTTTTAAGAAATAATAAGTCAGTCTACTAAGCAAAGGAATGACTCATGTTTCACATTGAATTTTGCTGGGCTGTCCAGAAGATGAATGAAACATCTTTAACATCAAAGTGTCCATCAGCGATTATTTCATTTGATAAAAAAAAAAAAAAAAGATTTTTTAAAAATTAAGGCACTGTCCCTTCATTTATTGCCTATAACTTGGTGTCATTTTATCCATGGTAGTAGAGATAATACTGATTTAAAATTAGTCTCTAGGAGATAGATGGGTAACATTCTCATCCAGTTACACCATTAGTGGACTCTTCACGTTTGCATAATAAGCTCATGATGTCCTATAACTTCTCTTTAGGAAAATTGGGTGTTGTTTTAGATTAACATTCCTGTTCCCCTTTTAAAAGTTAATTAACATGCAGACCAGACTCATGTCTGGTTAGGGAGTGGATTTTTTTTTTTTTTTTTTTTTACAGTATGAAAAAAATTGATGGTGGGTTTAGTCAAAGTGAACCTGAAGTTAACCTTGGGGCATTTTCAGGGAAAAATAAGATGTCAACTTACTATTCTCAAGATCAGTCATGTATTTCAGTTCCTAAATTGATGTGGGACAGAGACCTATTTGTCAGGTTTAAGGTCAAGCTGTTCATTTCAGTTTTGCCACTGTATCATATGCATTTTAAAAATTCCAAAATCTTTTGCATCCATTTCCCATCTAATAGATATTGTGTACCATTTCACAGGTCTCTGAGAAGTGGATTCATGGAATATGTATTTGCTTATTTACTACTTAAGGTGATGGAAGGCAGTTACAAAAATGAGTAAAAGTTGATTATGAATTGCTTGGCATCTAATGATGAAGTCGAAGCCATTCTCATAAGCCTTGAAGAATTAGACTTGAAGTTTTCTCTGAGTATGAAAAAGGATAAAAAAAATTATTGCATCTTTCACTTGGTTTCTTAAACCCACATGATCCTCTTCAAACACTTAAAAGAGTCCCTTGGTAAACTATGAAACCTCACCAAATTGATTTACTTTGGTAAAATCCTTCCCAGGTGCAATTTGGCATAACAGTTTAACTTTACTTTACACACGATCATTTGTTTACAAAAAAAAAAAAAACAACAAAACTTAGGTAGTGTGGGGTATGCACTCTATAAAGCATACTGGCTTTTACTATGTTTTAAGACTTTTAAACTAGTAGCTTTCCAAATCAGATCTTGAGTTGCAAAATTAAGAAAGCTATTTCTTTTGTCAACAAGAAGACACAACTTACATGTTTTAAAATATAAGTTTATTCTTGCCATTGGTTGCAGGCATTACAGTGATTTAACCCACGGTTGGTAATTACCATGACTCAGGTAAGTTTTGTCACAAACTATGAAGTGCCTAAAATATTTTGCTGGGAAGCCATTTAAGTATCTGGGGCAAAAGTAGGTGTGGGCTGGGGTTTAGAAATTTGAGCTAGTATGTAATCTATTATTTGTGAATGGTACTGCCACGTTGCATTTCCCACAGCACATTCTGCTTATGGAAAGTGTACCAAAGTAACCGTGGGACTCTGGAAAGTAGGGTACTGGGTGGAGGTACTGTTCTCCTTAGCCTTCAACTAAGGGGGTGTCTTCTAGCCATGGCACTTGGCGCTAGACGTATTTCCCTGTGGCTAGGCAGTGACAGGCTTCATCGGGATGGCCCATGACACCAGCTCATTCTGCTTAAAGCAGGTTCTCTTTATCTGCTTTAATTAAGGGAAAAAATAATAGTGTGTTTCCCAAAGTAATGGATGTGTGTCCAAAACTTTGGGTGAAGTATTTTGGGGATGGGGAAGGAACGGACATAGGGAAGAAGCCCTAATTTTCAAAGCCATGTTCTTTTTTTTTTTTTTTTTAAAGACATACACAGTCCTCTTTATTCTTTTTTTTTTTATTTTTACTTATTTATGATAGTCACACACAGAGAGAGAGAGGCAGAGACACAGGCAGAGAGAGAAGCAGGCTCCATGCACCGGGAGCCCGACGTGGGATTCGATCCCGGGTCCCCAGGATCGCGCCCTGGGCCAAAGGCAGGCGCCAAACCGCTGCGCCACCCAGGGATCCCTCAAAGCCATGTTCTACCCCTCTTCTTGATTTTCAAATCTTAAGTGTAAGAAGGGCAGCATGCCTGCCTGCAGCCCTATAGCAGCTGTAGCTTGAAATGCACCCAGCCTATTACTGTCATCAGTTACTAGAAAACAGTCACCAGTTCAGAAACTCGTGAGACCTCAGGGCAGCAGAACAGAACGTGGGATGGAGTGGGCCATGTGAAATACTGGAGACAGGGATTTCTAGAACTTAATTTTATTGTAGTACATTAAGAGTCATGTATGCCAGGAAAGCCAGTAATTATTCATAAGCTTAGTAGTTCACCACAGTTTTAGAAAGCACATAATACATTCAAATAAGGCATTATTTGAATAAAGAATTTTTCTAAAGAATTAAATGTGTCCTGCAATCCTTTTTAAAAGCCTTGGTCCATTCTGAAAGATCAACATTGAATTTTTAAAAATCAAAAGAAAAGTTTTTTCCCACAAAAATACACGAAGAACCACTTGCTGGCATTTATATTTTGAGTGCCTGGGATAACAGGCCGGTGTTCAAAGGCAGTTCATAACAGGTTGTACCAGGACTCGTTGCATCTGATTTAGCACCAAGTAAGAGTAAATATCCCACTGAAGATGTACTGATTTTTTCATCCACCTCTCATCGCCCCACTCTTCCTGCCAGGCCACAGGACATAAGCACGCATCCTTGTTGCCCAACGAAGAAATCAAATTCTCTTCGCTTTTAAAGGGCTACTCAGGCTACACACACAGGTGGAGTTCTTGCCCTGCTGACGGTGGCAAGGAAAGCCAGCAGCTGCCCACTGCTTTCACTAGGAATAAAGTCCTTCAACAAACTCAGTTACCTTCCTGGTCCTTCTTAACCTCTCATGTAAATCCTTTTAATTGCTACTAATTTGATTAGTTTACTAATTTTGATTGTTTACTAATTATGATTGTTAAGCATGTCGGGGAAATTCTCCCCAGGCATAACTGATGTATTTCTACTTCCTGAGGACCCAGTATGCTTGCTTTTATGTAGGGCCATGGGTTTGCTTTTCTTGTATTTTAATTTGTCACTCATCACAGCAGATTTTACATAGTGATCAAAAAGAGAAACTGGCAAGTAGATCCTAAAGCACATACTTCTACTTCTTAACCTGAGTAATAATCTGAAAACACAAGACTAATTACATTTTCTGTTGATAATTCAACCTCAGTGCTTTTGTAAGCACTTCCAATGTCAATTTCTAATAAGTCATTTTTT